CTTTAGCTGAACTAAAGCTCTGGATCCAAACCTCACCTTCCTTCTCCCCAGTCCAGCCAGCCTGTTCTCCATGCAGGAGATTTGTCACCAGGTAACTCTTCACATTGTATTTCAAGCATGTAGTAGGGTTGGGTAGAAGCTGGTTGTGTCCTCATAGACACAGAATTCTGCTCCTGGAGCCAAGTGCAGTGGTCCTTTTTGGTTTTGTTGGAGGGCCCATCATGAGAAACTATCAAAGCACATTAAGGACCAAGACTGATAACGCTGCAGGATATAACCAGGCTCGTGTTCTCCCAAGGAAAATGCTTCCCAGTGGTACAACTGCCTTCCAGCCACGACAAATCTCAGGAGTAAGGTTGGCTTTGAACCCAAATAACACCCCAAGACAGTGAGCAAAACATCAGGTGTTTATCAAGTCCTTTGCAGCTCCTAGAAATCAAAGTGTTCCAATGTACACCATGGAGTAGATGTCTTTATGTTGGAAGACCTTAGAGAAGGGGTCAATAGAGAATTGCCCCACATTGTCTGCCCTGGCTGATATGAGGATTGGGTAACCACATGGCTTCTTCTCAAACATTTTTGAGGAGAACTGTGTATCTCCTGCAAGGAAAGGTCAGTCTTCCTCCATGGAAACCAAGCAAGGAGCATGTTTCCCATGTGAAACCTTCACTCTGCCCTTCTGCTCCTGAAAGCAGGAGTTTTGCATGGGTATCTCCCAGAAAGTACCTTCCCATGTCCTCAGGGACTGCAACCCTCCCCAGAGGAGCAGCAGGACCTGGTACCTGGGTTGGCCTTCCCAGGAAGCAAGGAAATATTTCCACATGAGGAGGGAGTTTGATGGCATTACTGCTCCAACTCAAACACACACTCAAGGTGGAGGAAACCAGATTTGGACAAGGAGCAAGCATTTTGGGGAGGACAGCTTTTGAGCTTCTCATTCATGTTACCCATGGACCTGCTATACCAGTGAGGATCATTCACTGGAGTGTGCCATGGATGGTACACGCAGTGGGCACTGCATCCCCAGGATTTTGGGATGGGACCCTCAGCTGAAGACATGGGCCACTGTTGGGACTTGCCAACAGATAAGCCATTGACAAAGAAGAGCCGATACCAGGCGCTGAGGTTTCACTTCAGTGAGGCCATAGAGAAGAACCCAAGTGAACAGAAACCAACAGAAGTATTTGAGTCCCCAGTTGCCCAAAACCACTAAGACTCGGTGCAGCTGCACCAAGGAGCTCACTGGAGCTCACCAGGCGAGGAGCAGGGACAGAGCTACCTCTGGGTTGGTGGGGATGGCAGCACCCTACCTGCCTGGACAAGAGATTTGGGAGAAAAGTATGAGATGTGCAGAAATTCCTCCTGGATTTCACAAAGGCCACCCCAAGTCTGGGCTGGAGCATCCCCTAGTGCCATCTGGCACAGTTACCTCAAAACCTGCTCCTGTCTGCTGGTCACAGAATCATTAAGGTTGGAAAAGACATCTAAGATCATCCACTCCTGTGTCTGTGAGCATCAGCCTTGGAGGCTTCTCTCATTTTGGATTTTGTGATGGGGAAGTCTTGGGCCAGGCGTTAAGCACGAACCCAACATCACTGCAAGTCCAACCTGAGCACAAAGGAGACCCCCTGCCCATAGTCATGCACCCCAACACATTTTTCATCCCACACAATGCTATCCCACTGTTTCCTTCCCAATCCCTCCACACCCACCAGTCATCTCCTCTTGGACATGGCTTGGAAACCATTTAGGATGGAAACTGTGCTTCTAGTTTCATGGAGCGACACACAACACGGTCCCAAACTGAGCTCTGGGCTCTGAGACACAATGGCAACACTAAAAATAAACAGTGTACCCAGGTCCAACAAAAGGTACCTCTGCTCCCCACCACTCTTCTGCGGTCTTGGGGTGGAAATTGAAACAGCTCTGAATACGTAGCAGGTGGCTCCAGGCGAGCACAAGATGGTGGTTTCTGAGGAAGGACTTGCACCAGGACATCTGGGGAAACCGCAAGTGGTGTTTATGGTGTCCCAGCCTGCAGCCCATCATGTGTTTCACAAGTGGGCATGTGTTGTTCCAGCACCGACCGCAGCGGGTGGCTTGCTCCCACCTCCCCCCTGCCAGGCACCTCACCCACGTGGAGGTGAGTCTTCCTCACACTCTGAGGACCAACAGGATTAAATCACACAGGAGACACCACAATGACTCTCAGGAAGAGCAGAGAAAGGCTGGGGGTGAATGTCAATAGTGCACTTGCAAGGTGAGATCCCCATCTCCATGACCAAGCATCCCATAAGGGCATACAGGAGTTGGGGACTTCATTGCACTCAAGATCCTGGTGTATCCTCAAAAACTTTGATCTGTAGCCATCTCTGCTCACAAGCACCAAAGCCACACGTGGCAATGCCTGCAAGGGACATACACAAGGACAAGGAAAGGACTACGAGTGTCCTACCAACACAGTTGGGGCATGGAGAACAACTCAGCCATTGAGCAAGGTGCTCATAGCATAAATAGCTGAGGGGACAGGACTTCCTTTAACCCTAACACATAACCACAAAGTTTTGGTTGGGTGTCCCATCTCAAAGCACTTTTTGGGTGCTCCAAGTTGTGTGTTGTCCATTGTGCACCCACCACTCTTTGGGACAGAGGCTGTAACTGGTTACCCTGGAGGGATGCACTGGGGTCAGCTTCGAGTCCAACAAGAAATGAACATCTAAATATTTTTTTAGAGAGGCTCCACTGGGAAGGTTGAGTTGCTCACCCCAAACTAGCCAGCAATCCTGCAGTCAGAAGAACCTCCTGGCACAGAGATGAGCTGCAGTCAACCCACCCCAGGTCTTAACCATGCCCTGACCACACACTCATGCTTGGGAAGGTCTCTGTCATTAATTAAAAAAGGCAGAGCAGCAAAAAAATCTGCTCTCAAAATATTTTAAGTATCTGCTTTGATACCCAAGCAGGGAGGACAGCTTTGCATCCATCTCCTCAGCATGTCCCAAGGATGCTCTGTCTCCAGCTGCCTGGATCTCCAGGCATCCCCTTCACAAGCACCTACATCCTCAGTATCTTGAGTACCAGGGTCACCCCATGAAGGCTGGTGCTTCCCTGCCTGCAGGGCTGATCCAGAGCACATGGCACAGCCTGGCATGGGGAAGGAACTGGAGTTCATGTTTGTCCTTCACAGGAGACAAGGGGACAGATCAAATATGGTCCTCACACCCTTCCAGAGCCTCTTGAGGTGTTGCCCCAAACACAGGCTTAAAGTGAAGGTGGGTGAGGTTGCAGATGCTCAGCCTCTGCTGCTGCAACATTGACCTTGTCTGGCCAAGGAAGAAGCTCCCTTTTTCATGGAATCATTTGGTTGGAAAAGACCTTTGAGATCACCAAGTCCAACCACACCTGTCCACCTGTCTGCGAGCACCTCATCTACCCATCTTTTAAATCTCTTCAGGAACAGTGACTCAACTACTTCCCTCAGTAGCCCATTCCAGTGTCTGATGACCCTTTCAGTGAAGAAATGTAGTGGTTTCACCTCCACTACACTAGGCCCCATGAGAAAGGTGGATAGAGAAGACAGCGGGGAAAGGCTCCATGAGGCAATAATATGGGATGGACAAGAACATCCATTTGAGCAGGACCATAATTAACTTCCCTCCTCCTCCCCATCCCATGACCTTGGAGCATCAGAGCCCAGAGCAGTGCTGTGGCAGACAGACAGGGACAAATCTTCAGAGAATGGTTTGGGTTGGAAGAGACCTTTCAAGGTCACCTAGTCCAACTTCCCTGCAGTGAGCAGGGACATCTTCAACTACATCTTCATGCTCCCTGCAATGAAGCTCCTACAAGTGATTCCTTTGTCCTCCCTCCACATGACTCATTTCTCTTCAGCTCCAGAGGTGAAACCAGGCAGTTACAGAGCAGGAGGTGACAGCAGAGGCTTAACACAGACCCCACCACAGAGAAGATCAGAGCAGGAACAAATCAGAGATATAAGGATCACCCCATTGCAACCAAAAACCACATTGCAACAGAAATACAAAATATAGCACTTTAATTGCAGGAAAATTAAAAAAATACCAAAAAAAAGTTTAATAAACTTCAGGCATAAAATAAATAGGCAGCTTTGAAGGACAGCCACACAGCCCTGGTTTGTGTCACCTGCAAGGCACAAGCCCCATGCCCAGGCAGCTCCCCAGGTGCTGGGTGCACTCACAAAGCGTGTTAATGAGGATTTACACATGGATGCCACTGCCTGGTCACGCTCGGGAGAGACCAGCAGATGCATTCGGGAAGGTGAAGCCAACCTATTCACACTATGCTGTAATCTTTAAAATTAAAGATCTTATATATTTATATAAACTCTGTCTCTAGTTAGGAAAAATTAAGATTCCTATGTTCTTATATTCAACATTTACAGTTATAATCTTTGCATTGGTTTCCAAGTTTCAAAAGACTTTGGTAGATAGAGATATTAAAAAAACTTATACTAAAAAGAAAGAGGAATTTGAGAAGGTTCTCCTTGGAAATTTGAGAAGGTTCTCCTTGGAGGTCACACCTTATCCTCTCTCTTTAGGGGAGAAGAAAAAAAGATTTTTGGAAAGAATTTCCTACTTTTGAGCATTTTAAGGCTTTTCCAAGAATCATCTCTTACCAAATCACTGTTCTCAGCAAGGTCCAAGTGGCCATTAACAAAGACAACACAAAGCACTGCCAGCCCTGAGCTCAGACATTCCCTCCTCCCCCTGCCAAAAGCTATGGACAATGGTATCAGGTCTACTCTGCTTGGTAGAAAAGTCATTTTAATCAGTAAATTATCACTGAGTATCCAACCTACTTCCTCATGACAACTTTGACTGCTCTATTTATAGAGATTCTGGACTGGAAACAGCAAAGAACAAAAACCAACTTTCCAAAAAAAAGGGAATTTAGGAACTAACAGGACCAAATTGGGTCTAAATCAACCCAAACCACCACACTACATCTGCAGAGAAGGAGGCTCAGACAGCAATCTGTTGGTTTTCTCTGAAGAGAGGTCGCTGGTGTGTAGCACAGATGTCCTGGAAGATCCTGTACACCTGGTCATGCTGTGTCTCATCAGCTATGGGGAGCATGGGGCTGCTGTTGCAGGACCTCCCAGTCTCCTCCACCACCTGCTTGACACCCAGCTGCTCCACCTACACAAGAAGAAAAGTCATGAAGACACAGAATGAAGTAGAACCTCTTTGAGCATCTCCCACTGCTGCCATCCAGCCCCACCAGCAGCAGATGAGATGGAAGAGACACAGCAGAGCAGTTGTACCAAACAGACCCAGGTGCCCAGGTCTAGCCAGGCCAACAGGTTCAATTCCACAAGCCACCTTGGCATAGAACCTCTGGGAGAAAAGGAGCAGTCACAAGAGCCCCTCTCCCAAGAGAGCTACAAGGAGGTGAGGACAGGCTGGGGAACATCCCAACACATGCAGAATGACCCTCTGGTGAAGACATCCAAGGCAAGAGGAGGTGACCAGGTCAGAAAGCTGTGCAAGGAGGTGTAGGATCAACCTTTGCACTTGTAAAATCCCCTCCAGGACCTCAGATTTGGAGGTCTCTGCTTGCTCAAAGGTGGCTACAACACCCTCCCTGCACCCTCCATGTCATGTCCCTACTGCCACAGCCTTGTTGGTCCAAGAGCATCTCCACATTGGGTGCAGGCTTCAGAAACACCCTATGTGTTGCCCCCAAAGCTTTGGGCACCCAGACTTGCTTCAGCTTCTCTAGGGAGACATTTATGGAGAGAGCCATGGGGATTGGCACTCTAATCGCACCCCCTCCTTCACCCACCTTCTTTAACCTCCCAAGGGTTTCCCAAGCCCACCATGATTGGTCATCACATCCATTAGCTGCCTGGCTTGAAGCCATCCCTTAACACAACCATTCCAGGGGTTTATTCCCCTCTTTCCCACAGGAGAAGGGCAGAGAACCCAGTGCCAAGAGGCAGGAACAGGAGGAAGAAAACAGATTTCCCAGCAGTTTAGAAGAGCTTTTGCCATTTGGGAGCTTTGTTTGCAAACATCATCTGCTCAGATAAAGGATTCTCTGACAAGCTACAGCCCAAGCACCTCTCGGGAGGTTGTGGATAAGCTGATACTCATGCCACATCTGCAACCCAACCAATTCAGTCACCCAAGTGAAGAGTGGCTCCAAAGGTTGAAGCTGCTAAAGCCCTGTTTGTTGGGGAAAACAAAGAAGGGCAATATGGTCCAGATAAAGTTGGAAATTGAGCTCCAAAGGGCAGCTGTCCATACCTGGACAAGGATGAGCTTACACCGCAGGGGGACAGTGTCTGGGAACTCCTCTCCAAAGCACAGGATGACTCTGCTGTCCGGGAAGCGGCCCTGGTTGTTGTAAAACTGCTGCAGCTCTGCAAGGAGAGGGGAACAGTTGGAAGTTGTCTGCTGCAAGCTGCTGGTTCTTTGATACACAGCTTTGGGATCAAGCACCCTGCCATGGTAGAAAGCTGAGGGCTCAAGAGAAGCCAGTTTCATTGTGCAAAGCCTCCAACTGTGAGGAATTTATTAACTGGCACAAAACACCAGGTTAATCCTTTCCAGATCTAGTAGCATCAGCTACTCATCCAGAGCACTTGGGTAACCCATCAGCAATGGATAGTGAGGACTACAAAGTGCTACAAGGCAGAGGACTTCAGCCTTTCAACCCCTCTTGCATGAATGAGGAGAAAGAGAACAATCCTACAAACCTCTGAAGAACAAGTTGGTGTCAAATATCTTCACCACCTCATCCCGGTCCAGTTTGTTGGGCCTGTCCTTGTAGACCATGGTGTTTCCACTCCAGAAGACCCTGCCTTGGCATAACCTCTTGATGAAGATGCCTTGCTTATTGCTGTGCAGCAGGACACCCTTCTCCAAGTGCCCAAAAAGCTTCCTGGTGATCTGCTTCTGGCGGTCATTCTGGATGGCATCAGCTGAGGGGAACCGTACGTGCTCCAGGGCATCTGGGGCGTACAGCTTCTCACCGTGGCTGGAGGGCTGGCTGAGAGAGATCCGGCAGCCCTCGGTGCACGAGGTGGTGATGTGGCCCACCAGCCTCCCACTGTAGTAGAAGCTGATCACCATCTGGGAGTAACCTGCAAGGGGAAGGGGGACATAGACCACCCATCAGGAGAAGACAAACCTTGCCTGCTCTTCACCACAATGCCCAAACTCCATGACAGCAGCAAAATCTCCTGGGGGCAAGGCTCACTTGATAGAGGAGACCACCTACTTCTTAGAGGACATCTCCAGTACTCAGCCTGGTAGCAGCACTGATCAAGCAAGCAAGAGCTCCCAATACTGAAGCTCTTCCTCTTGCCTTTGCTCCACACCTCCCCTGCTGTGGGCAGATCTCCTCATGCTAAAAGCACAGCAGATCCCAGCACCCCAGGGCAGCTTCCTGTGCCAGAGCCACGGCCACAGGCAGGATGCATCCCTGCTCAGCACCCTTGTGCCAGAGCCATGGCCACAGGCAGGATGCATCCCTGCTCAACACACAAACTCTGCTGACACCCAGGAACACGTGGGACCTCCCAAACCCAGAGCAAAGCCTCCCCCCAAGGCAGGGATCAGAGTCAGAGCTGCCTTCTGCCACCACACACATGTCAGAGCCCCAGATGGGCTTTTGATGGCCACAGCCAAGCAGCCTCACCTGAATGATGCTGCTCGTAGCTGGAGTATCCATTCATCAGGGGCAACGCTGTGGGCAGAGAGAAAGCTGAGTTGTGTCTGCATGTCCAGCTCCCCAAACCCCAATATCCCCCTCTCCCAAACCCTGATCCCCCTCCTCCTCTCCCCTCCACCAGCCCCCTGGTTTTCTCTCCTTGGCACATCAGGCTTCCCAGCTCCCACACAGAAGATGCCAGCAAATAATCCCAGGTGGATTTAATCTCATGAAAAGCACATTCTTGGGCACCTGCTACTAATCACAGCATCCATAATTAGTACTTTAAATATTTGTACTAGGGAAGATAAAATACAACTGTTGTCCCTTATCCACTGCTGTACAGTGAGGTTTTTCTGCCCCAGATAAAAAGCTCAGCCCCATTAAACACCACACCCACTGCCAGTTACTTACCAGGGCTGGGCTGCTGCACCCACCAGTCAGGTATTGGGGGGTTTCTACAGGTCTCCTGGGGGGGTGAGGGGCTTCTCTTGATGATCCCCAGGTATTCATCAACACAGGGAGGCTGTGCAAGACCAGACATTGAAATCAGAGCAGGTTTGATGCTTTGGGCAGCCACTGCCCTGCACAGACAGTCACAGTGCACGGAGAGCGTCCAAATGGCAATGCCAACAGGATGCCAAAGAACCTTTTTTTTGTGGTTAGAAAGAGCAAGTTGGGCATTCCCCAGGCTGTGCACTCAAATAACACCCTCAAGAGCTTAAATTTCAGAAGGAACTTCTTGATGGTGAGGGTGACGGAGCCCTGGGACAGGCTGCCCAGGGAGGGTGTGGAGTCTCCTTCTCTGGAGACATTCAAAACCTGCCTGGATGCCTTCCTGTGTGATCTCATTTAGGTTCCTGCTCTGGCAGGGGGGTTGGACTGGATGATCTTTCAAGGTCCTTTCCAATCCCCAACATTCTGTGATTCTGTGAAGAGCTACTGAGCAGAAGCAGCTCAAGGTGACACAGCTGAGAAGAGGAACAGAGCTGTGCTACAGCCTCTGTCCCTCAGGGAGGGTCTCACCTGCCTGGATGCAAATCAAAAGTATGAACCATTTCTCAGCCATCCTGCCCTTGTGCTGGCTCACAGGAACGAGCAGCAAAACCCAGCATCACTCACTGGGTTGATTCCCAAAGCTTTGCACATTGAATTTGAGGAAGGCAACACTATCAGGCAAGTGCCCACCAACCACCCGCAGCGACCTGCAGCCACAGTGAGGACCTTACCTCTTTAATGAGGTCATCAATTGCAGAGGAACTGCAGTCCATCTCCGTGACATCATTCAAGCTGCTCCCGTTGGCAATGCCTGCTTTGCCTGGAAGGAGAGGTTGGGGATGGAGTGAGCACACCCACCCCCATACCACAGCTCATCTCATCCCTGAGCTTTAAAAAAACCCTTCACCCCATGAAAGTCATGAAACCAAGAACCACAGCGCTGCCACCTAACAGCGCCTCCAGCTCCACCCAGAGCTGCTTTTCAGGACCAAAAACCAATTTATAACCCATTGTCCTAACACACAGTGACCAGCAACAAGAAAAATAACAAAACCTGACTAGTAGCAGAGACAGAGCAGAGGGTTGGGGTGTTTTTTTTCTGAGCACCCCAGAGACCAGAGCTGCTGCTTCTCTTTTTTCCACCAGCCTCCTCAAGAGCTGGTCGTGTTGTTGGTGGGAACCTGCAGTGCCATTTGCATAGCAGTGGTGTGGCCCTCGTGTGAACACAGCTAGAGGAGACCAAGATGCTAAAGGCAGATTTCCTGACAGCAAGATATTTTTTTCTCTCTTTAAAGATAAAAGGAAAAAGCACACACACACCTAACCACAAATAAAGATATAATTAGTGCGACCTGTACCACACGGGACAGCGCAGCAACAACTGCTCTCTGGGAAATTACTGCTGCTCTAATCACTGCTGCCAACAAGAGAAGGGATTTATTACAGCTCCCTGCCACCCACCCGGGGCAGAGGTTGGGGCTGAAGTACCCTCACAAGGGGTAAAGGATTTTGGATTGGTCCCTACAACATCTTTATGGGATGGAAGGTCATGCAATGCTGCAGTTATCCCTCATTTCCTAAGCAGCTCTTTAGGGGGCTAGACATAAAAAAGCTTGTCCTTCTTCCTCCTCTCCCTGCCACTGTGGTGACACAGGGGACATCTTCTGCAAAGCACCACAGCACAAGAGCAGTGTCTGGCCAGGAAGCCCTGCTCAGATGTAGGTCAGCAGCACAAGCCTGTGCTTACTCACAGGACCAACCTTGACCTGGGGGTTTGTCCCTCACCAGGACACTCACATTTCTGTTCCTCCTCTGGCACAATCCTGTAGACCTTGTAGGGTTCAGAGATGTCCAGTTGGGATCTGTCTGTCACCTCCTCAAAGTCAGGACTCTTGTTCAAGGCACAGCGCAGACGTGTCTTCCACGTGGCCGGCTCTGCTTTGTCACCTTCTTTGAACTTGCCTTTGAAAACAGCCCAAGCCTAAAAACAAAGCAACACCAAAAAAATCCTCCATGGGAGCTCTGCAAACCCCCCCAAGTGCAGAGGAGCTGGGGCTGTAGAGGGGATTTTGTTCCCACCACCTCTGTGCCCCTTGCACCCTCTCAACCATCCCATGGGTATTCACCATCTCAGTCCTGGACTGTGGACACGTGCAGAGCCACCACACATGGGGATGGGTATCTGGGTGCAGAGCAGCACCCCATACTCCCAGTAAGAAGGGCTGCAGCACCCCAATTTGGAGAAAAAAAAAAAGCAGAGGTCCCCAGTTTTAAAAAAAAACAACAAAAAGCAGAGGTCAAGGTCACCACATGCAGCTCCATCTCTGCACCAAGAGGTGAGGAGGTGCTGGGGATGCTGGAATCACTGCTGAAGGAGTGGTGTTCTTCATGACCTGGTGACACCTCAATTAAAAACCAACAAAAATCAAAGGAAACTTCATCTTCCAGCTCTTGGTTAAAGAAGTGAATTTCTAAACCATTTCTTTTGAAGATCAGAATGTGCTTTTGGTGGGAAAAGAACATTTTAGCACTGAAGGGAAATTGCAAAGTACAGATAATGGAGACCATAAAATATATATTATTTTTTTAAATATACATATTTATTTATTTTATAGATATTTATATATTTTCAGATAACCAAATTCAACACCATCCTCACAACTCAGTGCTCCCAAACCAACCATCTCCACCCTGAAAGTGAACTCACCAGTAGAGATCTTTGGAAATAGGGGCAGAGGGAAGGGAATTCCTGGGGAAAAGCCTGACCTTTCTGGTTCAAGATGGAATCTTCCAGTTTTTCCCCAAAACTGGAAATCCCCATCCCTTCAGTGAAATCCAAGATTTCCCTCCTGCAAAGTCTTTTTTTGGGGTTTTTTTTTTGGGTAAATCTTTTATCAAGAATATCCTAAGAAGATTAGATCAGGTCAAAAGGAGCAGGTCAAGCTCCTTCTCCTGTCAGATCAGGATTCAAACACACTGAAAATAAACCTAAACATGGCACCAGCATTTGGCCAAGAGGAACAAATACCCTCAAAAGAGCCTTGGAGAACAATCATGAGGTGAAACATCTCCTGGAAGGGTCAGAGATGGAAAACTCCCACAAAACATGGACATCTCCCACCAACAGGGTGGTCAGCAAGGAGAAAAAAGAGCATCACAGAGCCCAGGAGCTATGGAGAAGAGGCATTAACCATCTATCCCTACCTTGAAAATAGAAGCATCCACCTCCTGGTTGTAGTCCTGCTTCCCAGCATGTTTCCAGGGGATGCGGAACATGGTTTTCTCCTCGTTCTCCCAGATGAGCCCAGGGTAGAGTTCACTGTCGATCTGCTCGATCAGCCACTGCCGCAGCCGCCGCCCGCCGTTGCGGTCACACATCCTGGATGGAGCAAGAGGTCCAAGCCCTGTTAGTTCCCCCAGCACTGTCCCACCACAACTGGGGTATGAGGGATCATGTCATGCTCTGGTTTGGATGGCTGGTAGTGGAGCATCAGAGACAACCAGCTCTTGGTGGCCCTGCAAGTCCCACGTGCCATTAAGATGCACATTAATATCTCCCTTGCTTCTTTTAGAAGAAGAAAATTTCCTTCTGAATTACTACAAACTCTTCCTCCAGCTCTACCAAAGCTCTGCTCACAGAAACAGGTTGGCTTGGTGCTCTGCTGGCTCCTTTATGGTTGGACTTGATGATCTTAGGAGGCCTTTTCCAACCTTCATGGTTCTATGATTCTTTTTTGTGCTGCTGAATAAGTCAAAGGAAGCAGATGGATGGGGATTAAAGCACCCAGTTGTGCTGTCACCTGAGCAAGTGACACTGGCCAGGCCATCCCAGGACAGACACTGGTTAATATCTGCAGGAGATTGAAGTCAAGTGTTGTCCCCAAGCTGGTCTTGGCACAAAGGTCTGCCCTCGAGAGATGTGGGTCCCTCCTGGGGGTCACTGCCTATCTGGGGAGCAGGGACCAGTTCCCAGCAGCACCTGACAGGGATGGGGCTGCACAACCAACCCTTTGAACACAGGACCAATGCCAGGACGGAGCAGGGTGAAGTCAAGCCACCCTTGCTGGAGAACTCAGGTCATTTTTAGCCAAAACCACTGGATGACTCCATGGAAGACCCATGAGAAAGCTTCTCCCATCCAGCTGGAAGCAAAGCACTAGGCTCAACCCTACTGGTATCCCCCATCACCTCCATGGCAAGATCCACAGGAACTTCAGGAGTTGGTGGGCTGGTAGAAGTGACCATCAGCTCCAGGATCAGCCCTCCAGGTCTTTGGGGCTCACAGCCCTCACCAAAATTTTACAAGATTGCCTCTCCCTCTTTTTGTTTTTATTTACTGCCTTTTTGAGGAGAAGATGAGGATGGTCCCAGCACAGACTGAGACCTGGTGGTCTCTGCTTTGCCACAGGTTCACATCAGCTCAGTGCCACCAATCTCTGTCCCTTCTCCATTGCACAGCAGGACACATGGACCTTCCTGGCCATCCACAGCACAGCTTTTGTTTTTAGGGTTGGTGATAACTACCACCACCAGCCAAAAACAATAAAGCTCTGGATCCCAACTGCCCTTCCAGAGCTGGATGCCCCAAAGCAGAGAGAGAACCCCCACAAGAGAGAGACCCTTATTAACACACCAACCATGACACTGTAAGATGTGGAATATCCCATTGGCACATCCAAGTGCCAACTTAGCTTATTAATTTTAATATTCCTCACTCCCTCCCAGACCTTGTATTTGCAGACCAGCAAAACACAAAGTCCTTCAACTTCCAGCAACAGGAAACATCGGAATGTTACCAAAGTTCTTCTCATAACAAATCCCATCGCTGAAACCAAAACACAACGCTATTCCAGCTACTAAAAGGAAGAGAATCACAGAATCATTCCGGTTGGAAAAGACCTCCAAGATCATCAAGTCCAGCCTAGCTCTGTCCCAGGACAGTGCCATAGCTCATCCCCAAGGGACAGGGGTACAGCCTGTCTGCTGGCTCCTGCACCAAGCACCTTGCTGCTGAGTTACACCAAGATGAAGAACTTCAGAAGCACTCTTTGAAACAGGACTCTCCTCTAAATCAGCCCATTCTCTATCAAAACTTGTTCCCATCACTGGGAGAGGTCAGAGCTCCATTGCTCCCCCACAAAACACTGGGCGAGCCTTTCAGTCTGCCACAGGGAGGGACATGAGCCAGCACACACAGAACATGGCCAAGGAGTCCTTCCCACGCAGCGAGCTGGGCTCCACGCCAGGATGGACACGAGTTGGGTGTCACCCCACACCAGGAGGGACAAGCAGACAAAAAAAACTGGGCTGGTAGAGCCAGAACCGCACCAACACCCCAGAGCCCATCACCCACCAA